TGACGACACACCACAAATTTTTGTCAACCCATAACAGGTGTACATACATGATCGATTTCCAATAAGTATAAATTTCGCCTTTGAAAACCGGTGCTCTATTGTACGCTCCCTTAGGATCGTCGTCTTCCGACATATTCACAAACTTTTGGATGTCGATTAGACACAATCAAAAGACCAGCTCTTGATGTCAATTGTTGGGTGTGAATATGAAAGTAGAAAAACAGTCTAGAGGGGGTGAATAAACCTGAATTAAAAAATTCCACTGCCGTTTTTAAAATCAGAGTGTTTTTTAAAATGAGTTGCGAGTAAAAGGTTTGATGCAAAAATGAAAATTATATAGTTTGAATATTGATCAAGTCAACATAAATCATTTCACAAATATCAAAGATTAATATGATGAAACACTTTGTATGGATTGATTCAATTGTGTAATGCATGAGAAGTGTTTACACAATGATTCAATAGATGGAGTTCTAAGTCCAATTCATTTCATATTATTAATCAGCAATCTAGCTTAACCAGTTATCCAATTCTTAAAAAACCTAATGCTTATGTAATAAATTGTTATCAATGAACAAGCAGTATATTATGATAAAGTTGAAAAACCTAAGCATGCAAATACTACAAATTTATATGCAAGAGTAAGAGAGAGAGAGAGAGAGAGAGAGAGAGAGAGAGAGAGAGAGAGAGAGAGAGAGAGAGAGAGAGAGAGAGAGAGAGAGAGAGAGAGAGAGAGAGAGATGACACTAATATTTATAGTGATTTGCCTTCGTGCACTCTTGAATAGTTTCCCATTAGAACCTACATAGTTTCTTGTTATTTGAAAAATATTTCTAAGAGTTCATACAATCACCAATCCACAGTATAACTGAGAAAATAAAATCTTCTATTTGGATCTTGACTTGTATACAACACACTTTCCAAACTCTTCCACGTAATCTTTACTCGAATTATGTTTCTTAAATCTTCCAATATCACCAATTTTCCTCCAAGTCTCAGTGTGTAGCAATCAATCTCTTGATCCTAGCGATTCCTTGAACGGTGAAATTGTTTGAAGATCTAAGAATAACTCTACCTTATTTGTATCCTTCCACACAGTCACTACTAAGACAATTCTGGATAGAAGAAATCTACTTCTTTTCAATGGAATTTGTCACCACCATTGACAATCACCTCAATCTTGCTAACAACCTGCAAAAAATCAACAAAATCTCTAAGAACTATTAGTTTCAAGGACGCGTCTCCTTCAATCAATTACAAAATTCTCGTTAACAAGATCTTAACTCAATTGAAATTAAAGATGTAAGAATTTCGTTGCAAGACTTTGAACACTCAAAACAAAGGAAATTAATTCTTCACTAATATCACACTGGAAAATTATGATCAGAATGATAGATATGTTGTGAAATGATGACAAAATTTTTTTATATGTGCTTGAGATTAAGCACACAAAATGGTTGAAAAAGTCGGTTAGATTCGAATTAAGAGAAAACTATGATATGAATCAAATGAGCAAGTGAAATGGAATAAAAGGAAACAGAAATTTGAAAATCTATCAGTTGATTCGAATAAGGGAAAGAATGATTCGAATCATGTGCAAAAATTGATTCAAATCAAATGCCACAACCTTGACAGAAAAATATTGAAAAAGTGAGTGATTTGAATCATGTAAGAACTTGATTCGAATCAAATCAAACAAAAGTGAACATCAGGAAAATGATTTGAATCAAGTGTAAAAAAATGATTCAAATAAAATGACTAGGTTTCGCCTCTGTCGAATTTGACCAGAATCATAACATGTGCGTAAACTCAATGATTTGAGTCAAACATGTAAAATCTCCTTTTTTTTCAAGATTTAAAAATATTTTGAGATTTTACTTTGAATGAAACTTTAATAAAAAAAAATGTTTTTATTCCACTTACTCATACAATTGATTAATAATATTATGATCACGATCAAATATAACCAAAGTTTTATGCATGCAAAAAAAATGAATCTTTTCGAACTTGATTCTGAGAAGTGCAATCATCAAGAAGACTCAACCAATCGAAATTAAATCAAATATGAAAGATATAAAACAAGCAATAAAATAACCGAATATAGATACTCCCCTGAATAAAGTAGTGACACGTAACTACACCTAGCTCTTATGCTAATCTAAATGTGCACAGGTCTTTGATTTCTAGAGAGGAAGCAATTAAACTTCTCAAATTTCATCTTCTTTGTGGCGAGAACAGGATGACGCAACCAGCCAGCAAACACAAAAATGGTTGTGTTTTGGCTATAGGAGGCATAATATATCAAGCTCCAACCATATAGACAAATATCTATGATATCACTTGGTAATTGGTATTTTATGATATCTATGATATCAGTATGTTAAACACTACCCTTCATTTTCCTTTAAAAATTTCAAATAGACCCTAAGACCTAACATTTTGTTGACAATGTCCATTTGGGACACAGTAATTTTGTATCTTTGTTTAGTTTTCAGACTAATTTGTTTGAATTTATTATTTATTTCAACTGATTTTTCGAACTTATCTATTAACATGAATTTTATTACAATATTTAGAAAATTTTATAAAAATAACTTATGATAGTTTTTACAATTCTTTTCAGTTTATTTACATAAAGTTTATATCTTATAAAAAAAACTTATAATTTATTAAACATAATTAAACTTTATTTTATCTTTTATCATAAAAATAACTTATATAACTTATATTATTTTAATAAACACTTATTCTATAAACTAAACACTTATTCTCCAAACTAAACTGCAATAAGTTGTTTATCCAAAAAAAAAACCACTATCTTGTAAAAAAGATTTAATTTGTCACCCCCAAGCTAATACTAACATCTCATACATCGGATGAATTTATCATATTATCCTTGACACAACTTTAAAATTATATTATTAAGTTTACTAAAAATTTGAAGCGTACCGACAATGTTGAAAAAATCATAAGTTGTATGGATTTTTATTAAGAATTTCAAAATTTTCGATATATTTATACTGTAGATTTCATAATTTCCGGTACATTTATACGATCTATATTGGGAAATTTATGAATCTTTTTACATATATTATCGGAAGTGTTAAAAATTCTCGAAAAAACGCATGACTCTTATTTATACAACTTTGTAATCATTCTGAACCACACAAAATAGACGATACAATCACAGTCGTACAAAATTGTCAGCAAAATCATAGTCGTTGAAATTTAACACTGCCAAAAATTTCATCAAGTTAAAAGTTCCGTATAACATGGAAAATTATAAAATTTCCAATATAAAATGCCTACCAAAAATTAAAATTACACTACCAAAAATTTAGTTCGAAGATAGAAGATTTTCATAAAATTTTATCTAAGACAGTTTTAAAATTAATAAAATGTGTGGAGATGCTGGATATAAATTAGGATGGCAAGTTAAATCCTTTGTAAAGAACTAAAAGAGTCATTCACTTCTCATGGACTAACTTCGAGTCTATATTTTTGAGGGACTTGAATAAAACTTCACTCAAAATTGTAAATATGAGGTTAGTTCTATGACGGGCAAATTACATGAGTTTTGTCTCAAGTTGATTTCCAGCATTAAATCAATAAATTTGGTCATTGGATCAAATGAAATATGATGAAATTTATTAATCCAATAGAAAAAACACACTTGTGCATGGTATCCAAAGACTATTTTGTCTGTGCACATTTAACAAAGCCAAGTAAAGACCAATTAGGACTGACAATGAACCGAACCAACTCGAAAATAGTTCGGAATTCGATTCGACAATTAAATCGTTGAATTAGATTCATGAACCAAATGAGTTGAGTATGAGCGAAAAATTAAGTTCATTAACTAAATGAGCTGAACTTGAACTATACATAGTTCGATTCGTTAGGTTCATGAGTCAACTTGATTACATATGAGAAGCATTACACTGTCTTTAAGATTATGTTTAAATATTTACTCCAAATCTTAGACAAATTTAATCTTCAATTTATTAGTTTTTGAATTAGACTCTCAAATGTATCTCTTAAAAGCTGTGTAGATTTTGAATTAGTAGATTTCGAAGATAAAGTTAAATTTCAATATGATAACTTTTATTTTATTTTAAAAATATATATTTATTTAAAATGTCAAATATATTAAAAAAATATATATATTCAAAAAAATAGTTTTTAAGTCCGTAAATCATGTGAGCTGAACCTAATGAGATAAATCTAACGAGTTGAACCAAACTGTTCGTGAACTTATAACGAGTCGAGTTTAAACTTAAAAAAAGTTCGTGATGAACGTGAACTCGAATTCGAACAATTCTTAACGAATCAAGTCGAGCTGAGGTGAATTCGACTCGACTCATTTCCAGCCCTAAGACCAAACACATTAAAATTTCCTTTTTATTACCACATTAAAATTTCCTTTTTATTACCGCAAAATTGACACCCAACTATAGGGAGTCAGCAGTAAAATAAATATTTTCACACAATCTTATTATTTAGCTTACTAACCATTATTTGCAAACCTTCACTCTTCAGATTTGGGTTTAAACACAAACCTGATTTAACTTCGTTTTTCATGTTTAAGGTTTCCAATAACCCTGTGCATAAATGATGAAGAAAAAACTCTCATTCGTAATATACCATTGAACTTGCTTGCTAATCCACTAGGGTAACATTATTGTCAAACGGCACTATCGTCATGCACAAGGACGAGCATGCACATATTTAACACAAACACAGGTCCATGTGCACATACACATGCAACAATCTAAAGGATTCGACACATCTAACATCCATAGGAGCAATTCATAACGTTGATATTGCCCTGGTAGAAGAGAAATCCCTGCTGGCAATAGAGTGAACAATATCGGAATATAGTAATAAAATTGAGAAAGATAATAGGTATTCTACTTTGGTCCCTACTATGACTAGAAAGCTTCACATGATGAACGTATTCGTTTGTTGCACCTGAATTGTCTCTGCCTGTCATTAGCATCCTATTTAGTTTCAGAACTTCCGCCTTCAATTTGTGTGCCAACATTTGAACCTTCCTGTGCATTTGACTCAAGTGGGGCAGTAGGCGTCTCATTTTTTGATTCACCTGTAGGATTTTCATGTGCTGCAATTTCTGAAACTTGTATCTGCGCCAACTGGGGATCATAACTTGAACCTGCCACTGATGTGGGTGTTGGTGTCTGAGCAGCCAATGAGCCATTCGGTGGTGCTGCTCCTGATCCTTGTGCTTGAGATAGTGCATTCACCAGGAGCTGAGCCAGAAGTACCTGTGGATCATTATCACCTTGTTGAACTTGAGCATTAATTGCAGTGGCTAGGGCGTTGATGTCAGGTGGGTAAAGTGCTTGAAGTCCAGCTACTCCAGCCAAAGCTTGGGAACCTACTTCGGACAAAGTTTGGTTAGCTACTCCAACCAAAGCTTGGTTACGTACTAATCCGGCCGGAGCTTGGGGACCATAGGCACGCTTCAAGTGCTTTTTCCCAGTAATATGAGCCTGGTAAACACGTTGAGTGTCGCATTTAACATTGCACAACTCACATGTAATGGCTACAGCTGGCTCAGATTGTGAGCCATCGGCAGTCCTCGTCTGTTTACGTGCTTTTCCTCCTCTTAATTTACGCTTCAATCCACGGCCTCTTGCACCAGAATTTTCTTCAGCTGGAACATCAGAAGTCTCTCCTACATTATTCTGTGAAATTATGTCACCCTTCTGACTATCAGTTGCAATTTCAGAACTAATATTTTTGCCGGGGTCTTGAGACTCCTGAGCTATAATAGGTTGATCAGTTGAGTTCAACTGAGAGGTAGGAATCTGTCCACTTTGTGGTGCATTAATACCCCCATGTCTCTGTTTTGCTTCATGTACTCTGATATTCTTCAGATGCTTTTTTCCTTTCAGATGAAGCTCCATGACTTCTGGGGTATTGCACTCAATCTTGCACATATCACAGAATACCCCACGCGGTGGCGGTTGCACCGATGCAGTTTGCACTTGAGCTGAGACTGATGATGAACCAGGTACATCAGAAATAGCAGGTCCAGAAGAATGAGACGGAAAGTGTCTCCCACCACTCACTCCACGTCCTCTTCCATGACCGAACTGACCTCGACCTCGACCACCCCGCCTGAATGATCTACCACCCCTACCTCTGTATTGAGATGATGACCCAATCTGATAATAAAAAAATCACATACACAGTCAAGCATATATAATAAATACATGGTCACAAATATTCAGGTCAGAAAAAATAGGAAATTTGAGAGGAAAGGATTAGAATAAAAGATGTGCACACAATTGACAAAATACCACAAGGGTTGAGAGAAAATCTGTCAATGTGATGACATGCAAGTCAATTAATGAAGGAACTCTTGATAATACTCCAAAGGCTTGCAAATATTGGAGAAGAGTTAATAATTAAGAAAAAAACTGATTAAGAAAAGGAATATCTGGTTCATCCAGGTAAGAACCGAGGAAATATTTATAACTGTAATTTTAAGTCACCACTAACATTCACAAAAAAAGGAGACTGTGATGGCCTTAAAATTGCTTCCAAGGCATCCTCGATAACGAGAATTATTCCAATTCTTACTTACAGTTCAATCTAAGTGTCTCAATTTTGAACATGAAACAACTAAGTTGGCATAGGATCCAATTTTTTATTCCAAAATTCTGATGCAGACTAATAACAAAAATTGGACCCAGCATTTATGAATATTACTTCATTTTTACAACTATTCATGTCCAATAGATCTCCCAACAAACATGGAGTTTCCTCATTATGATTGAGATAATTTATGGCTTATCAACCAAAGTACCCATCAATTGATCAGAGAGTTGGGCAATTAGCACACATCAACAACCTTATCAGCCTCAAGATACTGTTGATCCCTTGAGAAGTAGTCAATTTAAGAAACATGCTCAATGCTCCCCTAAATCTGAAACCGAAAACGAAACACCCTCTGACAAAAGAAGAAATAAAGCATATCAAACAAAGATTATATCCATGGAATAACCAAAAGAATGGAGTTCCTTTTCCCAAACTGTGAGGCACTGCAAAATTATGGCCAGACAGTTAAGAAGAGAAACAAGATGATCTTATGCCCACATCAGCTCTAAAGCAACCAGCAAAGACCCACCACCATGTGAGCATTATTGTGGCATTGAAGGTAATCGCCGCAATTGCTTATTAGCTTCGATTATGCAACTATTGTCTTTATCTGGTCACTCTAGTGTGTTGTGGCCAAGGTTGCAGAATTCTCAACATTTTCGGAATGTTTTAGATGAAAAGCCGGGGATATAATACCTATTCCAGTATCATCCTTTGGTCCACAGAATGTCCCAAAAGAGCCTGAGGAAGCACAGCAAGATATTCTCTCTAAATGCATAAAAAATGTTTGAAAAGTCAAAGAGCTGCGAAATCTTCAACCAGCCTTTTCTGTTTACTCCTTCAAACGTTGGTAATAAATCAAGAAACTAGCATGTTAGAGTAGCAACAAATTTTCTGAACTGATTTGAGGAGGAACAAACCATATCATATAATGGCTTAATTTTGACTCGACTTATCTTATACCATAGAATGGATACACCTCTTTCAATTATCTCACTATAGTTATTTTAAGTAAAGAGCCTAAATTGGGTGTAAACTACCTGATCAAAGATTCTTTATTGGAACAAAGATGGGGTATATCCATAAGATATTCTACTAATCTTGTTTATTGTCAAAGACGCGAGTAAAAGAACCTGCTGGGGCTTTTACTTCTCCCCCATATGCGGTCTTTGAGAAAAATTAGTAGAATAAGAAATGCGCAAATGCACATAGATTGACACTTAACAACAACAACAACAACAACCACAGCTAAACCTCAAGGTAAAATTCATATTAAGTTATTAACAATGGTCCTAATAATATCAATTGATCCATGTAGCCATTCCACCAATGAGATAAAGCTTGTTAAGTTTTTTGTTGTTGTTGATGGTCAAATTTCTATAAACAGAATCTCTGTAGCACCAACACTTTTGAAAAAAGGTGTGTCTGTGCTAGTGTCAAATTGACACCGACACTTGTGATTTGTGATTATGTTTAATTTATTCATTTTTTCAAATTATTACTGGTATCAACGTGTTAGTGTCAATGTCGGTGTCAGGTTTCCGGTGTTTGTGCTTCATATAGAACATAATAATTTGACACAAACCATTCCAAATGACAAGTTTTTTGTCCTACTTTGGCTAAATTATCATAATTAGACAAACATGCAGACAAGCAAAACAACATCGAATCCACGATTTAACTCGAACTCGAACTCAAGATTGACAAAAAAAAATCCAAACTCATGAACACACAATTGAATCCACAATTAAACTAGGTAAAAACCATTTCCTTGCACTCATTGATGATTCAACATACACAAAACTCCCTCTTACATACAATAAAACTGATATAACAACTCAATTTCAAGTACATTCATCACAAGTTAATAAAAATCACAAAGAATCCCAATTTAATTCATTACTCTAACAAAATCAAACTCAAATAGGTCAAAATAAAATAAAATAAACATATTTTTTCTCTAGGTTAAAAAAAACAAATTAAAAACTAAAAACAGATTAACAATAATAATAACAATAACAATGTTGAATTGGCGATTGAACGAATGAATTTACCGTTAGATTGGGTTGAACCGGTTCAGGGTTAACACCGGGAGGGTGAACCGGAGCGGGTTCAGTTTGATAATAACCATGAGCTTGTTGATGATGAAGATGCGTTGTAGTATCAGTTGGATAATAAGCGTATTGTTGATTATAAGCAGCGTAATATGACGGTTGATATGCTGCAGCAGCAGCGTAAGATTGATCGTAGGGTTGAGCATGAATCTGAGATGGATCGTATTCGTAATAGGATTGAGGATGTTGTTGTGGTTGGTTGAGGTTGTAAGCTGAATAATCCATTGATGCGAATGAGAGATTGATTTGATGATGAAGAATTTGAGAAGATGGAGATGGAAGAGATGAAAAGAGGGAAGACGAAGAGATAGAAGGTGGTGGTGGTGTTGGAGGAGTGATTAGAACGTGAAACGTGAATTTGGTGGTCGTTTCGATGTATATGAATGTTGGATACAGTGTTTATTTATTCTTATAGTAATTTTTAGTTACATTATGCACTTTTAATTTAGTTACATAAAACAAAAAATTATAGGTTAAATGCACTTTTAATTTTTCATTTTTTTTAGCCTTTTTAAAAAAATCAGATTTTTAATTTCCATACTTCACTTTCTTTGTTTTTCTAATGTGAGATATGATTTTAGTAACGTGTTAGACATTGTTTTATGTCACATTTATTAATTATTGTCATGTTAGTTTGTATTTCTAATTAATATTTGTTAATAATATGAATATATTAAATTAATTATTATTTTCATTAAATCATTTTATATTTTTAATTTAAATATATTTATCTTTTCCACAAAACCATTTATGTTATCTTTCTCTTCTGTTAGCAGCTGCACACGAATGTCCTAAATCAATTTTTGTTATCTTTTTCACAAATCAACTTTCGTTCAATCATAATTTTATATTCATCTTCTCCATAAATGAAACTGCCTTCTCTTCTCTTATCTTCTCTCAGTCGCGAAAAATGTCGCAAAGCTCGAAGTTAGGTTATTGAAAGGTTGCGTGGTACATTCAGGAAGAGTGTAAATGTGGATTGGAATCTTTATTGATGACTTCCTAGGCCGAATCGAACCCAGGTCATTGTTTTTACGACTGTGGAAGGTTTAAGCTACAGGGGTATAAGAGATGTAACCATTTTAGTTGGTTTGATGAAGAAATGTCACCAAGAGCCAAGTAAGTAATATCTAATTTAAACCATAAGTTGAGTGAGGAGAAGTCTAAATTAAATGTTGTCAAGATCAAAGAGGAAAAAATGAAGATTAAGATGAAGTTTATGAAGAAGATGATGAATTTATCTGTGTCAATAACTTTTATTTTTATAATTGGTTTAGCTATGTGTAATGTATTGAAGTAAGGTTTAGACGAATGAAATGTCTAATGTTGTTGAATGGTGTAAAAACTGTAAGGTTAAGTTATGTTTTGTGTAATTGGTTTAGATGAGTGAAATGTGCGATGTTATTGAATGATGTAATATGTAACTTTAAATGTTGAATGAAGATGATTTTGATTGAAGATCATGATTTTAGTCTTTAACATGTAATAGTGCATAACAAAAGTGTGTAATGTAGTCTATAACATGTAACTTTAAATGTGTAATATAGTTTATAACATGTACCAAAATCCTGTAATGTGTGAAAATGACAGTAAATGTTGTTCATGACACTATAATGTTATAACAGTAATGTACCAAAATTGTAACGCCCAGTTTAATTATTTGAGTTTCTGATGTATTTTATTTTTCGGCTTGCTTGCGTGGATTTTTTTTGGAAGGAATTGAGATCCATAATATTGGAAAAATATGTTTAATAATAATAATAATATGATGATTAATAGCGCTATTATTATTATTATTATTATTATTATTATTATTATTATTATTATTATTAATATGTTTAAACATATTATGGGAAAATTAATTTTTTTTTGGATTAAAAGAAAATGTAGTATTATTATTTGGAATAAAATGGAATAATAAGAGATAGTATTGGGAATTAGGGGTAAGTTTGGAATTGAGAAAAGAGAAAGAGGAAGCTCACGATAGAAGTGGAAGAAGAACATGCATGAGAGCAAGAACACAGTGAAGGAGAAGAAGAGCACGTCTGAAGCTTGAGCAAGAGGTGGGCAATCGAAGCTGTGGATTGCGGATTCATCATCAGGACTGCAATTGAGGTAAGGGGGAACTAACGGTTAGGTTTCGGTATGCATGAGTAATCGGTAGGGGGGATTTCCCTAACCCCATGAATAGATGATGAATTGTATGATGATTATATGTTTGATTCTGTTTTATTTTGATGTTTGATTGTTGGAATCCATTGCATGTGGTGATTGATGATGATTTGGGGGAACTTGAGGGTTTCAGAGTAGGAATACCGTTTTAAGCCGGAAGTGGATTAATCGACATGAATTGGATGTTTTATCGGGTGGTGTAGGACTTAGTCGGGTAGAATGCATGCAGAATGTTGGGCCAATGTTGCTAGTGTTGATTCGGCGAGAATCGGTAAGAGTGGGGGGGCTGCTGAATTCTGCGCAGCAGTTGTATTTTTCTGAATTCGCAGACGCTCGCCGGCTGCTTCGCTGGGCGAGCTGGTAGCGAACCCTCCGCTGGATGTTCGCTGAGCGAACTGGGTAGTGAGTGCTCCCAGTAGCTTCTGTTTGGGCTCGTGAGGGTGCTCGCTGAGCGAGCAAGTAGCGAATGCTCGCTGATGCTTCGCCTAGCGAGTGTGCTAACGAACATGACAGCATTTTGTGATCTTTATGTTGTGCTGTTCTGTTTTCTCACGTGGTTGGACATTGCTGGTCGTGAGCGAGTATGTGAGTAATGTGGATCGATTGAGAGTGTATGGGTGATGTAGAGCGTGGATGCCTGAATACTCGTTTAATTCGAATGAATTGACGTACGTTGGGATACATGAATATGGCTATGTGCGATATGTGTTGAGTTGGATCCGTAGGATAGATACGCCTGTGCGCGTTGTGTTTATATGCTGTGTGTGGGAGTGGATCAGTAGGATCGAGTTGCACGATGTGTGCTAGACGTGTGTGTGATGTGTGATATATATATGTATGATGCATGATGAGATATGGTCAGGGGACCGTGTATGTTGCTTGTGTGTGTGATTGTTGTTGTGTGCGTGCATTGAGGTTATGCATGGCATGTGGTATTGTGGTGCTCCCTTAGTGGAGGGGTGATGGCCAGGTGTCCATCGATTATGATGTTGTGCTCCCTTAGTGGAGGGGTGATGGCCAGGTGTCCATCGATTGTGATGTTGTGCTCCCCTTATGGAGGGGTGATGGCCAGGTGTCCTTCAGGGGGATGAATCGTTGCTCAGGTGGAGTGTATGCGATTCATCCGGTGCTCCCTGTGAGGAGGGTTGATGTCCCAGTATCCATCGGTGATGTGTGCTTCTTTGTGGAGGGTTGATGGCCCAGTGTCTATCGTTGTTGTGAGTCGGTACCGCATATCATTTGTGTGAGTGGCATGTGTTGCATTGTTGTGTGTAGTGATTGTCGATGGTGGGACAGCATGTCCGGATGTGTTGTATATGAAATGATATTTTATATGTCTCTACCTTTATTTCATGTACATTTATACCATTAATATTGACTGTGAATTCTCACCCCTTTGTTGTTGTTGTGGTCTGTGCTTCTTCGGAAGTACAGACAATCCAGGTGTTTAGCTAGCTTGGATTGTGGCGTCGTTGTAGGATTGCTCTGATACGTAACACAGGGGCTTTTTGGGAGTATTTATTGTTTGTTGTTGTTTATGTGTGCCCCCGTGGCGTGTCTGAGTTTTGTGGGATGTGATGACATGATGTATATTTTGGGCAGATGGTCGTTGTTGTATATGACGATGTTGATGATACGGATGGTGTATATATGTTATGTGATATATGACAGACCACTTATTTCTTTCCCGCTGCAAATTTTATTGAAAATCAGTTTAGAAAATGGTTTGTGGAATTTTGTTGGAAATTGTGACATCCCGTTTTTGAGGGGAAAAACTCTGATATTTGTTTATTTTAATTGCTTTATTTTATTTTGGGGAACAGGGTGTTACAAGTTGGTATCAGAGCAGGTCGGTCCGTCCGGCCAGTGTAGTGTTTTGAGTCTGTCTGTAGGATAGAGTTGGTTGTTTTCTGTTAACCTGGATTGTTGTTGTTGAGCAGTATGGCTGGGAGGAATGATGTTGCCTTGGCTGCAGCTATGCAAGCTATGGCACAGGTGGTGGCCAATCAGAATCTGGCTGCGGGTGCACAGTTCCGAGACTTGACGCAGTTCCAGAGTAACAAGCCACCAAAGTTTGAAGGTGGGATTTTGGATCCGGAAGCTGCACAGAAATGGCTGAAGGCAATAGAGAAGATCTTCAGGACCATGGGGTGCAGTGACGAGCAGAAAGTGAGATTTGGTACTCACATGCTTGAGGGGGAGGCCGAGGCTTGGTGGGACAATTGTCGTCAAAGGATGGAGGCTTCGGGGACTCCGATTACTTGGGAGGTGGTTCGATCTGGATTTCTGGAGAAGTATTTTCCAGAAGATATCATAAGTGCTAAAGAGGTGGAATTTTTAGAGCTGAAGCAGGGCAGTATGTCGGTAGCCGAGTATGCGGCTAAGTTTGAGGAATTGGCTCAGTATTGTCCCCATACTGAGGAGGCTATGACTTCTAAGTGCTTGAAATTTGAGAATGGGCTGAGGCCGGAGATCAAGATGGGGATTGCGTGTCAGAAGATCAGGAGCTATCCTGAGTTGGTGAGTAGAAGCCGGATTTATGATAATGACAACCGGGCAAGGATTGCACACTACAAGGCGGTGAATGACCGTAAGGGTAAACAAAGGTTTGGTGGTACTCCTTACAGTGTTCCGATTGGTAAAGGGAAATTCAAGGGTGCTGTTGATAGGAAGCCCAGAGAATGAAGGGCAGTTGCTGGTACAAAGTGTTTCCGGTGCGATGGCATGGGTCATCGTGCCAATGATTGTCCTCATGAAGCGAATAAGTGCTTCAAGTGTGGGAAGTCAGGCCATGTGATGGCGGAATGTAAGACTAATATGCCTACTTGCTATAATTGTGGTGAGAAAGGCCATATTACCACTCATTGTGAGAAGCCGAGGAGGGCTCAAGCGCCTCAGGTTGGCAGGAAAGTGTTTGTTGTGGTGGGAACTCAGTCGGCGGATGAGGAGCGTTCGATCAAAGGTACATGTTTTATCAATAATGTTCCTTTGACTGCTATGATTGACACAGGTGCAACCCACTCGTTTATCTCTGTTGATTGTGTGAAGAGGTT